TTCAAATCTTCAAACCTTCCTCCAGTCCAAAAATATATATCCAACACAACTTTCTGTTTGCTATCGGACAGTTTTGTATCCATGTTGCCATTGCCTCTGTTTATTGCAGGAGCATTATAAATCTGTTGTCTGGAATTCCTTGCTGTGTGGAAGTCCATATACACCACATCATCACCATTATCAACTTCCTCTATTCATTCATCAAAATTATCCAACAATTTGGTTGAAGAGAATTGTGATTATTCCTTAAGTCACAAAGCTTATGAAACTCAGAGGTTGTAGTTTAATGGTATACATTTCTATTGTTATGCAGCACTTTATACTATTCAGTAGACCAATGCTAACTCCAACCTCAAGTAAAATATTTAAAGTATTTAAGCTACATATTAAATACAGTGCCTTGAAAAAGGATTCCTTACAATTACCAGGTGCATGTGGACTGCTAGTGACTCTAAAATCTAGTAACTATATGTAAATAATGGAATACTATGATTGTGGCATATTATGATCATGCTGGCAACAATTTTTAACTGCAAGTTTTTTTTAATGTTCTCAATTATTCTGATGTATCAATTGAAAAAAAAACTTGCAGATCCAAGAAATACTGGAGAAAGTGAACTGCAGATCCAAGAAAGACTGGAGAAAGTGAACTGCACATCACTTAAAAAGAACAAAAATAGCATTTACTTAACACTTTGACACATCTGGCAGTTATGTAAAGTTAAAGTGCTTTACAGTCAATGAAGTATTGAAGTTTAGGAGCTGTTGCGATGTAAAAACCATGGCAACTAATTTATTGACCAGATCACTGGAGATAATTCTCTGCTTTTTTTTAAGTAATGGAATTTTATATTTACCATCCAACCTGAGCAACAGAATTTAATTCAGGCTCTATCACAGGATGGCATCCCACTCCTGTCACCACACAGTTTGATTCGTGATAGTCAGCATGGATTTGTGAGGGGTAGATCATGCCTCACAGACCTTATTGAGTTCTTTGAAGAGGTGACCAAACACATGGATGAAGGTAGAGCAGTGGATGTGGTATACATGGATTTAAGTAAGGCATTTGATAAGGTACCCCATGGTAGGCTCATGCAGAAGGTAAGGAGGCACGGGATAGGGGGAAATGTGGCAGATTGGATTCAGAATTGGCTGACCCTTAGAAGACAAAGGGTGGTAGTGGACAGAAAATATTCAACATGGTGCTCAGTTACAAGTGATGTACCACAAGGATCTGTTCTGGGTCCTCTTCTATTTGTGATTTTTGTAAATGATTTGGATGTAGGAGTGGAAGGGTGCATTAGTAAGTTTACGGACGATACAAAGGTGGGTCGAGTTGTGGATAGTGCGGAGGGCTTTTCTAGGTTACAAAGGGACATTGATAGGATGCAGAGCTGGACTGAGAAGTGGCAGATGGAGTTTAACCCTGAAAAGTGTGAGGCGATTCATTTTGGAAGGACAAACTTGAAAGCAGAATACAGGGTTAACGGAAAGATTCTTGGCAGTGTGGAGGAGCAGAGGGATCTTGGGGTTCATGTCCACAGTTCCCTGAAAGCTGCCAAGCAGGTGGATAGAGTTGTTAAGAAGGCGTATGGTAAGTTAGCTTTCATTAATAGAGGGATCGAGTTCAAGAGCTGTGAAGTTATGCTCCAGCTATACAAAACCCTGGTTTGGCCACATCTGGAGGATTGTGTCCAGTTCTGGTCGCCTCATTACAGGAAAGATGTGGAAGTGTTGGAATAGGTGCAGAGGAGATTTACCAGGCTGTTGCAGAGATAGTAGGAACTGCAGATGCTGGTGAATCTGAGATAACAAGGTGTAGAGCTGGATGAACATGGCAGGCCAAGCAGCATCAGAGGAGCAGGAAGGCTGACGTTTCGGGCCTAGGCCCTTCTTCAGAAAATTTTCTGTGTTTATCCAGCTCTGCACCTTGTTATCTCTTTACCAGGATGTTGCCTGGAATGGGGGGAAGGTCTTACGAGGAAAGGTTGAGAGAGCTAGGGCTTTTCTCTTTAGAACGACGAAGGGTGAGAGGTGACTTGATAGAGGTATACAAAATGATCAGAGGTATAGATAGAGTGGACAGCCAGAGACTTTTTCCTAGGGTGGAGGTAGCTATTATGAGGGGGCATAGTTTTAAAGTAAGTGGTGGTAGATGTACGGGAGACGTCAGAGGTAGGTTCTTTACTCAGAGAGTGGTAGGGGTGTGGAATGCGTTGCTGGAGCGGGTAGTGGAGTCGGCCTCATTAGGGGCATTTAAGCGGCTATTAGATTGGCATATGGATGATAGTATAAGGTAGGGGTGGAGGTTAGATAGACCTTAGGATTAGGGTAAAAGTTCGGCGCAACATCATGGGCTGAAGGACCTGTACTCTGCTGTACTGTTCTATGTTCTATGTTCAACAATGCAGTGCACCCTTAGCATCAGTTTTGTTTTCAAGCCCTGGAGTAGAACTTAAACCAAAACATTTGACTCAGAGTGTTACCAACTGAACCATGGCTCATAATTCTGTTGTAATTGATTAAAGCTTCCAGACATTGTATGACTTTGTCACTTGTAGCAATTGTCTCCTAATCATGTGCATTTTCTCCCAAGACCTCATGATTTTGTAACTTATTGGAGGAATTACAGACAAAAGGAAAACCTACGTATGATGCTAAAAGTTTGGGAAGCTGGACTGCTGCTGATATTTACACAGAATATGCAGTGCTAATAATAGTTTTACGAACATTACATAGGTACACACAAAATAGGAACAGAAGTGAACCATTTAGCACCTTAGCCTTCTCAGCTATTTGATAAGATTATGCTGAACAGTTTCTGTTTCAAATTCCATATTCCTAGCTACCCTCAATAACCCTTGATTCCATTGCCCAACAACAATCTGTCCACTTCTGCCTTAAAAATATTCACTGTTCCCATGCGCACTGCTCTCTGAGGCAGTATTCCAAAGTTGCACAACCGTCCTCGAAATCTCCTAATCTCTGTTTTAAAAGGACGATCCCTTATTTTACAGGCATGCTGTCTAGTTCTGCCCTCACTCTTCTAAATTCCAGCAAGACAAACACAACCTGTTCCTATAAGAAATCTCATTCACTCCAAGTAGCAACCCAGTCAACCTCCTCTGATCTCCTTCAGTGCACTTATGTCCCTTGTTAATAAGGAGTCAAAAATCTTTGTGCAGCATCCGAGAAGTGGCCTCACCAAAGGCCTGTATAACTGAAGAATAACATCATTACTTTTCTTTGCACTTCCTGTCAGGACAAATGACAGCATCCCATTAGCTTTCTTGATTATATGCAGTTGCCTGCACACTCGTGTTTTGTGACTCATGCAGAAGAACACCCAAATCCTCATAATTCTGCACTCGTTCTCCATTTAAGAATTACTTTGCTTGTTTTTATTTCTCCTGCCAAAGTGAACAGCTTCACTTTTTTTTTCAACATTATAATTCCATCTACCAGATTTCAGCTCTTTCATGCAACCTATCTATATTCGTCTGCAACTTCCTCATGTCGTCTTTCCAATGGATTTTCCTACCTATCTTGCTGTTGTCTGAAAACTTAGCTACCATGCTTTCACTCCCCTCACCTAAGCTATTGATGTAAATTGTAAATGTTGCAGCACCAGTGCAAAGCTCTGCAGGACTCCATTCATCACATCATGCCAATGAAAGATCCATTTATTCATATTTTCTGTCTTCTGTCAACCAGCCAATATGTTACCCTCTCCACCATGAGCTTTTATTTTCCATAATAACCTTTCATATAGCATTTATCACATGTCTTCTGGAAATCTAAGTGCTGTATAGTTGTACAGGCTCCTCTTTTTCCACAATGGACTCCTTTAAAGAGCTCCAATAAATTGGTTCATCATGATACCATTTTCATAAAACCACATTGACTCTTCCTGATTACCTTGGCTTTTTCTAAGTGCACAATCTTCCTTCAGTGATCAATTCCAACATCTCTCCATGACAAATGTCAAACTAACTGTCCTATAGATTCCTGCTTTAGAACTAGTCATCATAGTTTAAAAATAAGGAGTGCCCATTTCAAACAGAACTGAGAAAATGTTGTTTTCTCTCAAGGGTGAGAGTCTTTGGAATTCCCTTCCTCAAAAGGCAGTGGATGTGGACTCTTTAAATATGTTTAAAGTAGAGCGAGATAGATTCTTGATTACCAAGGGTAGAAGATTAACAGGGATATGCAGGAATGTAGAGTTGAGATTACAATCAGATCAGCCATAATCTTGTTGAATGGGGGAGCAGGCTCAAAGGGCCAAGAGGCCGACTCTGTTTCCTTTTTTGTGTGGTTTCTACTTCCCACCCTTTTTGAATAGAGGGCATAGATTTGCTACTCCAGTCCTATTGAACCTTTCCTGAATCTAGGGAATTTTTCAAAAATTAATACCAATGCATCAACTATCACATTAGGAATCTCTTTAAGGGTTAGGGTGATGTCTATCTGGACTCATAGAATCTCTACAGTGTAGAAGCAGGCCATTTTACCCAACAAGTTCACACCTACCCTCCACTGAGACCCACTCCTTACCCTATCCCTGTAACCCTGCATTTCCCATGGTTATTCCAGCTAGGCTGCAAGTCCCTGGACACTAGGGGCAATTTAGCATGGCCAATCCACCTAACCTACACATCTTTGAACTGTGGGAGGAAACCAGAGCACCCAGAGGAAGTCCATGCAGACATGAAGAGAACATGCAAACTCCACACAGAGGCTGGAATTGAACCTGGGTCCCTGGCACTGTGAGATAGTAGTGCTAATCACTGAGCCACCATGCTGCCCATGGGCTTAGAGGCTTGCCAGCCCACAGCTCCATCAGTTTGCTTTGTACCATTTCCCTCCTTATTATATAGAGCACTGATACAGGTGCTGAGGAAGAAAATATTTGGAGAGAACTCTCCGATGATTATTTTAACAACTACAGAAAGTTTTTAAAAAAAGTGATATAATTATCATTCTAACTCTCACTTTAGGAACTACAGTAATGCGCATGACAGCTTACGATGCAGATGACCCCAATACAGACAATGCAGTTCTGCGCTACAGCATCATTAAACAGACACCAGAGACACCATCTCCGAACATGTTCTACATAGACCCGGAGAAAGGAGACATTGTCACTGTAGTGCCGCCTTCAATCTTGGACCGAGAGGTAAGTGAAAAGTCTATCATTGATTTTTGTGTTTTACCTATTCAGTGTTTTACCGTTGAACTGATCCCTGTGGACGTGTATTTGTGTGATTTAAAGAAATTAAGATTTTTTTTCATATGGACATCATCAACGAAGCTTCAGTGTCGTATAATAAAAAAAAAACAATGAAAGGCACATAGCAAGCAGCTTCAGCACAAAGCCCATCCACAGGAAACATTGAAAGATGATAAAACCATAATCATTAGTAACACTGCTCATGATGAACCATTGTCTTTCAAATATTAAAAACAGTGAGTTCTGTTATAATAATGAGGTTTGATTGCAACATTAATTCAGCAATATAATTTATCTCTAGAGTACCATATCATTTGTTTTGTTTGTAATGTTAGTTGTGCTTATCTTCATATTACCCTTCTTCAGCCAGGCAGATAAAGTGCAGAAAGTTGACTTCTGCATGATGTTACTCCCAGCAGATTGGCAGAACATAAATGTCTAGAATAGACCATCATGCTATATAATCTTCTTGCTGTGAAATGTTGTGCTGCACTATTGTAAAATTGCCAAGGACTGGTGTAAGTCTTGAATGGAATATTACTAAGTCCAAATGTCAGCCTTGCATGCAGCTCTGTACCTCTGTTCATAATTCTGTTCTTCTTTGCAGTCATTGTCTCATGCTGAACAAGACTGTTCACAACATTGGTATCCAATCCAATCTTGATCCCAAATCTTCTCCATTGCAAAGGCCACAAAGTTTCATCTCCATAATGTTAACTTACCTTAAATCTATCTCTGCTTGTCCGCTGCTGAAATTACCACCTCCAAATTCAATTGTTTCAATATTTTTGATTGACTTTCCAACCTCAGTAAACCTCAGTTCATTCAAAACTCTGCTGACCATATCCTATATTGTAGAAAGTCAAACTCACCAGTTATCCATATCCTCACTAAGCTAAATAAAAACCAAAAGAACTGCGGATGCTGTAAATCAGGAACAAAAACAAAGTTGCTGGAAAAGCTCAGCAGGTCTGGCAGCATCTGTGGAGGAGAAAACAGAGTTAACTTTTCGGGTCTGGTGACCCTTCCCCAGACCTTCAGAGGAAGGGTCACCGGACCCGAAATGTTAACTCTGTTTTCTCCTCCACAGATGCTGCCAGACCTGCTGAGCT